TCGGGTTCACACAGAGGGCCCCCCACGATGACAGGTTGGGGTTCACTAGGGGAAGGGATCAAGAAGTGGGGAATAGAGGAAGTCCGAATAGGAACCTCTGACCGCTTCGGCCGGGGCCGAGGCGAATTTTCGGCCCACTTTATGCCATGAAGCAGACTTTGGCGAGTTGAATACACTTTTCCGGAGTCAGCACCGCCGGTAACATCATAGCCACAACATGGTTCTGGATTGCTGTAAATCGCTCGCAACAAGCCTTGCTGCGCGTAACAGCGCTGTTCGTCTCCCAGATTAATCAGCAGATGGTTCTATCGTAGCGACATCTCGTCCGCGAGAAGCTTGAAACATGTAGGTGGTTGTCAAAATTATNNGACCATAATTTTGACAACCACCTATGCATGGCACTTTGACCCGGCGTCAGGTCTCGCGATTGAAATTCCCAAGCCCTGAGCACTGAGCCCCTCTCAACGCGACGGCCCTGGCAGGACACAACCTCCGCTTGTGCAAGCCTTGTGCTTTTTGGAACACCAAGGGCTGCAAAGCTGGGCCCCCATGTCAGCGGCTGCTTAGCGTAGCGGGTGATGGGGAGCAACTTTAGAAGTGTGGCAGACATGCCGTCAAGACTTGCAGCCCATCATAGGGCGTGACCTGCGAGATTGTAGGTGGAAATCAAGAATCTTCGATGTCCTTAACACTGTTGCGATTGCATTTGCTGGACTTGGACAAGACCTGTTGTTCAAAAGGTCCATCACAACAAAGTATGAGTTTTAGTTCCAGCATGTTTGTTGGCTGTCACAGTACAGCTGTCGAGCAACGTCGAGCAGAGGACCTTGGCTAGACCCCGTCGGTTACAGACCGATCTTCACAAGCTGACGACCCTCGTGTGTTCTCAACGACCGGTTTTGAGACACAGCAAATTTCGTCGGTCAGACCTTGGCGCATGCCCAAGGAGCCAGCCCACTGCTCCGCTTAAGCCCAAACCTTGAATCGCCTAATTCTTCCACGAATTCCACGATAAATGCCACTAACTTCTGAAACACTTCGCACCTATCGAGGATGGAGTGGACTGCAAGTTCTGCCACCTCTGCGAGCCCGGTGAGAAGAAACGCCGGAAGAAGGCCTTCACGTGTCAGGTCCAGTATTGGTTGTGGTGAGGGCAAAGGCAAGATTTCGAGTTGATGTGCCGGCTCTTGTCGTCGTATTGGTTGTGGCTGTGGTTGCGGTTGGAGTTGCGGCTGTTACTGCGGTTGTGGTCCTTCTTCTTCTTGTCCTTATTATTATTCCTTCTTGTTGCTATTATCGTTGTCATTTTGATTATCCTGCTTCTTAGTATTCCTCTTGATGCTGCTGGTGTTGGGATTATTTTTAGGGTTGTTGCGGGTGCTGGTGCTGGGGCTGGTGCTGT